GGACTCAGAGATCAAATACTCTTACTTACTTACTCCGTGACGTTACAACCCTTCGTGGGTTTTAGCCGACTCGACAACATGCCTCCACTGTTTTCTGTCTTGAGCAACCTCCATCCAATTCTCCACGCCCATAGTGCTTAGATCTCCTGCTATATTATCTCGCCACCGGAGACGAGGGCGTCCGTGTGGTCTCCTTCCAGTTGGGACTTCCTCCCACACCAGTCTTACTGTTCGTTCATCAGAATGTCTTCTGAGGTGTCCTGCCCATTGGAGTCTTCTGGACTTTATTTCTTTTATTATGTTGGCGTCTGGGTAAAGTTCTTCGAACTCTTTGTTAGTTCTTATCCGATATTGTCCTAAGGCTTCATCCAGCACAGGACCAAAGATCTTTCTTAGGATTTTTCATTCCCAAACACATAGTCTCTCTTCGTTTGCCTTTGTTATCGTCCACGTTTCGCTTCCATACATTACAACGGGTCTTATTATTGTTTTATAGACCTGTATCTTCGTACGTCTTGTTAGTTGTTTCGATTTTATAAGGTTTTGGAGGACAAAAAGACATCTGTTGCCGGCCTCAATCCTGTTGTTTATTTCTTGTGACCCGTTATTGTTCCAAGATACTTGAGTTCTTTAACGCGCTCAAAGTTAAAGTCATCGATGGTGATTTTCTGGCTAATTCTGTCTCTGTTTTGGTTATTGCAGCCCATATACATATATTTCGTCTTGTTTTACTTGATTTGGAGCCCCATCTTTTCTGATTCCTTCTCGAACCTCACAAATGTCTTCTTCATCCTTAATCGTGTGTTTCCTATTAGATCGATATCGTCTGCAAATGCCAGTAGTAAGTTTGGTCCTTCTCGATGAAATACTGTATTCGGTTTGTCGATTCTTGCACTTCTGATTATGTGCTCCAGAGTTAAGTTGAAGAGTTGTGGTGAAAGTTCATCTCCCTGTTTTAGTCCATTGTTTATTTCGAATTTCGAGTATTGTTGTCCAAGTCTCACCTTACATCTTTACCGTTCCATACACATCCGTATCAACCTAACTATCAACCGTATCTATTCACTGAATGGATAGTAGATCCGGCCGTAGTGTTCCATGGTGTGAAAACTTTAGAACTCAGCTTGCGGACAAAGTGGTTCTAGTCATGTTCACGCTAATTGGTGTGGGTACTGTAAGAAAATTAAGCCAGAGTATAACGTAGCAGCCCAGCAACTTAGCTCTGAAGGACACAAATCTTGTCTTGTGATGATTGATTGTGCCGAAAATTGCTGAATAATACAACATATCCGAGTTCCCGACGCTGAAATTGTTTAAAAACGGAAAATTTGTTATCGATTATAACGGGAAAAGGACTGCTAATGATTTAAAAACTTTTGTATTAAAATATATGAACAATCCAAAGGAGTTATAAAACGTGATTGATTGTATGTAACTTGAATCAAACAGGTAAAGGTTTATCGGACATAATAACGAAATAAAACATTCGACTAAATCTTTCTTTTATTAAATCTATTCCACTCGTTTTTTTTCTGTTTGTTATAAGGTTTTTACCGCTTTCCATGTTTCCCTTTATCTTGTTGACCTTATATATGTGTTGAGTTCTTCGCATTTACTTTCCCAGAAGGTATTTTTGCCACCATAGTCTTGGGACCATCAGCTGCTTCATGGATTTTATTTATTATGTCTTGATAGGTATTCTGGGGTCTTAGGTGAATTGACTTCCAGTGATTTTGATTGTGCTGGTTGGTTGTCAGTCAGTCAGTTCCAGTTAGGTGAGTTTCGCACACTGGTCCTCTTAATACTCTCAGTTCTTCTGATTGTATGTGTGTTTCTTGTTTTGTTATAACATAATCTATAATTCTTTTACTGTTTCTCGTTGGTTAGACTTAGGTATATTTATGTATGTTTTTATGTTGGTATAATCTATTTGAGATTTTTAGAAAATGCATTTGATTAAATATTCCGCATTTTCATTTATTTAGTCGTCCCTGTATTTTGCTACGACCTTGTCATTTATTTTGCCTGTCAAATCATTAAAATCTTTCCACGGCACAATTTCTTTGTGGCTATTTATAGTTTTAAGCAGTTCTCATAGGACATATTTGTTTATTATGTATTTGATGCACTTTCTGATGGCAGGGAATATTCCAATGATCTCAAGTTTTTATTACTATTGATACTACTGCTTGTACTCTCTTGTCTTTCTCTAATCCATAATAAATATTGTATAAATCCTCCCATGGCTTCGCTATATTGGCCTCTTTTTTGTTTATAAGAACTGTGATACCTACCTAATTTTTATTTGTTTTACTTCTGCTATAACTTCGTCTGATTTGGTTCTTCAGTGAGTTTCTTTTTTGCAATGGGTTTTTTACAGGTGAAGAAGAGCAGTGTAGACTTAAGTATTTCTTGGAATTCATTGACAGTATCCACTATGCATTGATACCATCACCAAGGCCAGTACGCTATCCTGGTGTAGGACCGGCAGTGTAGGAGTTAAATTATTTTAAAAAAACTTTATTATTCTTAAGTATTAACTATTTTTATTTTTTTTTTAATAGATTGTTGGAACTAATTCAATTTTCATTTCATTAGGTGATGGAACATCAGATGAAGATAAGGCAGAATCAGCTTCCTCAAGTTCATCAGCTTTAGCTGAGTCTCAGCTACTAAATCACAGAAATATTTATCTTAACCGTAACGGAAATAACGAAGAAAAAGAGCAAGAGGTAAATAATATTTTTTAGTCACAGGTCTACTGAATCTTCTTCTTAGGGTGTCTGTCCGTTCCGAACGTTGGTGATCATTCTGGCTATGATGACTTTGTTGGCTGCTATATGAAATAGCTGTATTAAGGTCTTTCTATACCTTGCTCTCAGATTAGCAAGCCAGGATATTCTTCTTCGTTCTGGGGCCCCTTTTTCTTCAATTTTGCCTTGTAAAATGCATTGAAGTAGCTCGTATCTGCCTCGATTTCTCATCACATGTCCCAAGTACTGCAGCTTGCGGCCTTCACGATGTTGACCAAATCCGCAGTTGTGTTCATCCTCCGCAGTACTTCTTCATTGGTGACTTTGTCTGTTCATGGTTTCTTCAGGTATTGTTCTTTTATCTCTCTCACTGTTTCTTGTATGATGGTCAGACTTTCCTCTATAGTTCCTGCATTTTTGCATGTTAGCACCTTTGTATTGAGGTTTTCACTCACCTTCAGTCGAACATTGGGATCTTTCAGTTTTCTAACATCATATTTCTTAATCGAATTACTTGTAAACTTCTTCATTCTGACATTGAAATTACCTACAACTGGCACATGATCGGAATTTATGTCTGCCCCGGGTATGTTTTGACAGATGTACAGCTGTTCCTATACTTCTTATTTACTAGCATGTAATCAATTTGATTTCTTACAATCCTTCCCACAGAGTCCTATGGAGATTTCTAGGTGTACTGTTTCCTTGGGTGTAGCTTAAGCCAGGTGTTCATTATTACCAATTGATTTGCTTCCGCAAAAATCTCCAACGTATCTCCCCGATCGTTCCGGTTTCCTGGACCAAATTGTCCAACTGCAGATAATGTTTTGCTGGCCCCAACTTTAGCGTTGAAGTCACTCATGACAATTGTTAGGTCTTGCTTTTTCAAACTTTTCACGACTTGATTAATGCTATGTTATAGTTCTTCTAACTCTTCTTCTGTTCCTTCTGTTGTAGGTGCATACACTAGAATTATATTAATGTCGATTGGTCTTGCTTTTAGTTGTATGAGCATCAATCTTGCTAAGATTGGGATAAAGTTGCCAACAGATTTTGCCACTTCTTTTGTCAATATACTGCCGACACCCAATTCATGTTTGCCGTTCCAGAATAGTAAACGCGGTGTTCCCCGATATTTTCGGTTCCTGAACCTGGCCAACGCATTTCGCTTATTCTCAGAATATTTCTACTGAATCAATGCTTCTAAAACTATTACTTTTTTAATTTATTATTGATGAGTTATTTTTTTTAACGTTACTGCAGTTTTTGGAAATAATTTTTAACCTTTTTTTTATATTCCTCCCTTAATAATTTGTTAGTATCGACATAGTCCTGAAATTATTTTATTTTCTTGCGGTATTTCAGCATTTTATCATTTCTACTTGAAGATAAGAAGCCATTGTCAAAGTACAACTGTTTAATTATAAATCTATTTGTTCAATTACGTAAGAAATAAAACAAATTAATTCTTAAATTGCGTTAGGCTTTCACGGCCATCGTCTGACTTATTAAACTGTTTATTCGGGCTGTTGGGCCGTTGTCTTCTGTTGAGATTAGTTCTCGACGTTTCGCCAACACTAGGGGTTGGCATCTTCTGGAGATGTTGATGCTTCGCTTGTAAGCAGAAACTGACGACGCGTTGTACTACGGAGGCAATATTTATAATTCCCACTCGCCTCCCCTCCACTGGTTTCGGCTTGAGGGGGCGTGTCGTTGTTTATAGTAGCTTTTCTATCTCCGTGTTTGGCGGGAAGGGCGTTTGTGGATTTTAATACTGGTATCCATGTTTTGTTGATTTTTAGTCCTTCTTCTATCCTATTGAAATTGTTTGGGTGCTTGTATATTTCCACCGCTTCCCGATATAACCGTGGGTAGTACTGTGAAGTTTTGTCCAGCATCTGTGTTTCTTCAAATAGTATTCGATGTTCTCCGCTTCCCAAAGCGTGTTCGGCAACGGCAGATTTGTCGATATGTCCTAAACGACAATGGCTTTTATGTTCATTTATCCTGGTGTTGGTGTGTCTTTTTGTGGTTCCCACATATACCATTCCACATGTGCATGGTATTCGGTATACTCCGGCCGTTGCTAATGGGTCGCGTTTGTCTTTTACCGATCTTAAACAATCCTTGATCTTCTTTGTAGGTCTGAAGATGGTCTTTATGTTGGCTTTCTTGAGTATTCGCCCAATTGGGCGAATACTCAAGAAAGCCAACATAAAGACCATCTTCAGACCTACAAAGAAGATCAAGGATTGTTTTAAGATCGGTAAAAGACAAACGCGACCCATTAGCAACGGCCGGAGTATACCGAATACCATGCACATGTGGAATGGTATATGTGGGAACCACAAAAAGACACACCAACACCAGGATAAATGAACATAAAAGCCATTGTCGTTTAGGACATATCGACAAATCTGCCGTTGCCGAACACGCTTTGGGAAGCGGAGAACATCGAATACTATTTGAAGAAACACAGATGCTGGACAAAACTTCACAGTACTACCCACGGTTATATCGGGAAGCGGTGGAAATATACAAGCACCCAAACAATTTCAATAGGATAGAAGAAGGACTAAAAATCAACAAAACATGGATACCAGTATTAAAATCCACAAACGCCCTTCCCGCCAAACACGGAGATAGAAAAGCTACTATAAACAACGACACGCCCCCTCAAGCCGAAACCAGTGGAGGGGAGGCGAGTGGGAATTATAAATATTGCCTCCGTAGTACAAGCGACTGCCCAAATCCAACAAAACTAAAATGCCCTAACTGCAGCGGCGAACACGCTGCCTACTCCTCCCGGTGCCCTAAAAGGCACGAACAACCCGCCAACCCTCACCAAATCCAACCCTTATCCATCGAAAGGTCATCTCCCCCTTTCGATCTAACAACCGATCTCAAAAACACAATAAAACTTAGTACCTTAGTACTACTTAACATCCTTCCCGAAAGACGGGACCTTATCACTTCCATCACAAGTTCTGTGGTGGAAAGAATTTTCGGCCATACAATCACATTGTCTGGCCACAGCAACAAGGTCGATCTGACCTTCCACCCTTCCTATTAAACCTTTCATGGATTTCACACTAGGAGCAGTTAATTGCCAAGGGATCTCTAGAAAGAGACCCCTAATCAAACATATCCTGCAAAAGCATAATATCCAAATCCTAGCCGTCACTGACACTCTCTGTCAAAACACTCCTACTTTTGCAGGATATACAACAATCTATCGAAGCCGCTGTCAGGTTTCCCGTGGAATGGTATCCTTATCAAACATGGATTACCACACTCCCCCCACGTATTCCCTCAAAATATACCTCCACCCAACGTGGACTTCCTGGCAATTGACCTCCATCTTCCCAATAACCAAACCCTCACGATAATCTCTTACTACAAGCATCCAGCGAACCCGCTTTCCATCGAACTCTTAGAGTACTTCTCAACTCTAAACAAAGCAATTCTCATGGGTGACCTGAATTGTAGACATACTCAATTCGGTGATCATTCCACAAATCCGGAAGGCATCGTACTCTCCGATACACTTCTAGACCTTCCTATTATCAGAATCACCAACACTGATTATACGTTTTTGTCAGCCGCTGGGGCATCTATTGTCGACCACATCATCGTTACTGGTAGCGTGATGCATAGGTTCGAGGATCGATGTCACATAGGCGATACAATAACGTCCGACCATCTTCCGATATTAGTTAACACTGATATCATGTCACCAATAATTCCTCCACCTCCCAGACAAATAAGAGATTATCGTAATGCAAACTGGCAAAATTTCAAACACTACATCACAAACAACATTCCCGAGTTAGGCGAAATCAATACAAATGAAAGTATTGACCAGAGTGCGATTCAAATTGAGAACCTCCTAACCGAGGCAATCAATCACTCAATTCCTATGAAAACCATACAATATTTCTCTCCGGCACTTCCACAATATATCATTGCCAAAATACATCAAAAAAGACGTCTTTTACGTCAATACAAGATCAACAGAGACCCCCTAGTCAAAACAGAGTATAACCGCATCTCTGCTCGAATTAAGAGGGAAATATCTATCCTACAGGCTCGCCAGTGGGAAGATACTACCTCGAAATTGGACTACAGAGATGGGACTAAATTCTGGAACAAATTCAAAGTCCTAACAAAACAAAAAACTTCTCAACCATCCCATCTGTTGATCGACAACCAAATTATCAGTTCACCTGAACTGAAAGCCGAAGCATTCAGAAACTCACTCTTCGAAAACTTTCAAACACCAAACAATCCAAACTTTGATCGCCTATTCAAAGCCGAAACCGACTATGTGGTAAGAAATACTCTCTTGCATAACACTCCAAATCACGTCCCTATCATGGACCCTATTACTGACAGAGAAACGGAGAGTTATTGCCGCATCGGCAAAAATAACTCTCCCGGACCTGACAATATCAGTAGAAGGTGTCTAAAGCAACTTCCCGAGAGTATAATACCCCTAATCACCAAAACTATTAATGCATGTCTTAAAAATTACTATTTTCCTACTCCTTGGAAAATAGCTAATACAATTATGCTCCCTAAAAAGGGCAAAACTCGCACGAACGTGGAATCATACAGACCCATCTCACTAATCAATTCTCTAGGGAAAGTCCTTGAGCTAATCCTTAAGGAGAGGCTCAGCGACTTTCTGGACACAAATAACATCATTCCCAAATTTCAGTATGGATTCCAACCAAAACGTTCCACTCACAATGCATTAATAGACTTCACAACCAAAGTCTCACAATCAATAAACGGCAACAGCATCGCCATCGCCACTTTTCTTGATGTTCAGAAGGCCTTCGATCAAGTCTGGCACGACGGACTTGTTCGGAGACTACTGGACATCGGCCTCCCTCTTCAATTCATTAAAATAATCCACTCATATCTTACCAACAGAACGGTCAGGGTAAGAGTAGGCGATCAATTGTCCACCCCAT